TTATGCTAATAGTTGTTGCTTAGATACTATTTACCACGTGACAGGCATTTTGTACTTTACATATATTGGCTCAATTACTCTCATGAATATTATGAAGTAGATAAAATTATCACATCCGTTTTCCACAGGAGGAAATTGAGGCCTAAGGAGGTTGAGACACCTAGTGAAGGTTGACGACATGGTAGTTGTAAGTTGGTGCCAATACCCACAGTTTGGCAGCAGAACCCGCACTCCTAATCTCTGTGGTTTCCAAGAAAGTTTTCAGATGGGTTGACTATACTGTCAGCATTCCTAAGTCTTTGCAACTTCTTAAAATTTTTCTTTGTTGTAAAACTCTCAAGTGGTCTCTGCCCCATTTAGAGTTCATAAACTATCTTAATTTGTAAAATCTAGAATTATCTAAGAGGTTCACTGATTCATAGTTTCCATGGTAGTAAATGGTAAACTATCGTATGAGCCACTGCACTGGTCCAGGAGATTTGTTGGCCATCCTCATGTTGTAAAATAATAACATTGAGGCTCAGATTTGTTATTGAAAATCACAATGCTTGTGAATGGCTAGGAAATTCCTTCATCAGGACTTTTGCCAGAAAACTTGCCAGGGAACTTAAAATATATGAGAGGATTTAAAAAATTACATTCAATAAGCATTGTCCTCTAAATCTTCATTACTAGTAATTTTTTGATGGCTTGTTACCTATGGTTAAAGGTGTATCTTCAGAAACATGGAAAATTTGTTGCCAAGCATTAAGCAGAAACATGCAGTATGCCAACAGTGTTGTTTAGGAAAGTTAATTATGGTAACATCAATGACAATAAGAGTGGAGAGTCTAACTTTACAAGTTTTATAAGAGGAAATTCTAGATACTAGAGTATTATCCTTTTGGTTGGGTGAAGAAGCCCTTTGGAGAATCTGAAAATCATTTACTATCTTCCCCCAAATATATACGCAGTTTGCAAAGGACTTCTAGATTTATAAATAAATAAATAAATAAATAAATAAATAAATAAATAAATAAATAAATAAAACACGTGTGTGTATATATATATCTTCTGAAATTGCTGATTTTGTTGTTTGGTTGTTGGTAATTATTGGTGAGGATGATAAGATTGTCATCAAAGAGAACTGAAATTTTGATTTGCTGAGGATCAAGGAAGAGTCTCCTTTTCCAAAGTTACCCAAAGACTAGGTGGAAGAACATCAGAGCAGTGGGAAGTTTGGGAGTCATTTCTTGTTGATCTGAAGTTTAATCATTTTTTATATGGCACAGATTAGGATCATAATGTTATATTCATGATTTCCTGTCTTTCTTTGGTATTGTAGAAATACAACCATAATTTTTGGTTTAGAACAGAATGTGCAAACACATAGTTTATTTTACGTTTTAATGTAGTCTTTAATTCTATTTGAGAATTGCTTACAACTAAGCTGTACTTCCCAAAAGCAGGCATAAGATTAATCTACAGTCTGAGTCATTGTCTACACATCTTTAGCTTAATCTATTCTATCAACATCTCTATGACCTTTGTAATCCTTTGACTGCATTTTATTGCTGTTGCCCTTAAAGCCAATTACTACTTATTATAGATACAGTGCTGTCATTCTGAAAGACTTCTGAACTGTGAGGTCTGTATAATGAAAAACCGTTGTTATTAAGATTATGGCCAGGCCAGTTACTCGAGTAGGGAAACACAGAGTGTTTGAGTTAAAAAAAAAAAAAAAATTAAAAAAACACACAAAAAAACACAAAAAAAATGTGTAGGGAAGGAGAGGAGAAAAACAAGAAGGTGGGTCAGGAACACATGAAGTAAGTTTGGCTCAGTGGTATTTTAGATAAATCAAATATCAGAGGACAGTGTTTGGGCAAGCTTCTGAAGGCATTAATGTCCATGCATTCCCCTTTCTGGAGTGGAAATAAGAAGCCATTTGTCCTCTACCTTTGGAGTCCATTGAGTTGTTCCCCGTGATCTTGGTTTTTTCTTACCACCTACCCCCATAGAATTAGATTTTTTTCCTTAAACTATTGCTAAGCCTATGCAATAATAGCAATTTCAGGATAATGGCCTCATGTTCTACTTGTTTCAGTCAAATAAAGAAATTCCTGGTATGAAAATTAGTCATGTTAATGAGATAACAGATGAGCCTATTTGTGATGCTTTGAGTGACATGTATAAAGGGAAAGTTACATAGAACATCCATGTAAAAGTGCCTTTCAAAATTGGCCTCCCAAATTCTTATCCAATTGTAAACTGTATCCCTCCTCATTTACTGACCAAATGACAGGTTTTATTAGGCTTGCATTATTTTTTTAAAACTTTAATTGGTTAACATAAAATTAAAACATAACATAAAATTGGAAATGCCATTTAAAAATTGAGATTTTGTTCTCTAGAAACAACAATACTGGGAATCTGACGACAGCAGGTGCGCCCTCCTCCAGAGCAGCAGTCCACTGAGACTGTGTGTGCCTAGGCTGTTGTCCTCTCCTGCCCCACAGTTGCCATCAGGCCTCTTCACTCATTGACATTCGCTGCCTTAACCCCAGGGGCCCTTCAGGTTACAACCTCTGCTCTAGTGCTCCATCATAGTCACTTACTGAGCAACAACAGTTGTAAGTTGAGCCCACCTTCTGGAGTACTGTTTGATTACAAGAACACAAAAAGAGCAAAGCGCTGAACTTGAACCACTGCACTCCACCAGAGGTAGAGAAGACATCTCAAAAGACCTAGTTCTTTGGGCACAGCTGACCTAAGTGGTGTTAGATAGATTGCTTTTATTACATAAAGGGAGGGGCATGAATGGTTCTTTTGCCCAAAGATGATAACCCAGATCCTGGGTATACTTCCACTTTATCAGATTGTAAGGCATCTCTCACTTTATTTACACAATTTTCATGAAGCCAAAATTGCCAATTTATAAAATCATGTAAAGGGCAGCCACGATTTGGGGAAACAGGTGGCATGCCATGCTTTTCCCTTGTGAATTAGCAATGTTTCTCCCGGAGGTTATCACCTGAGACACTAAGGGACAAAGGTTTTCATTTGAGACTGCCGTGACTCTGAAAACGGTAACGTTAACTTGTCTAGTTGTGAGAAATAGGTTGGTTAGCTAACGTAGAATATTTTATTAAGAGTGAAACTGGTGGGGTTGTTGGCTTAGTGAGTATTTGATCAGGGTGTGATGGCATTACTTAAATTACGTAGATGCTCAATAAGGTATTCAGAGTGCAGTGAGTACAGTGTTCCTACCATGAACACCATCAGGTACGCTATAATGTAATATGAAATGTTCTTGTCCATATTATACTAATGGATATCGGAGCTACACTGCTGAACTCATTTTGATCTATTGCTCTGGTCTTGCTTCCTTGCTTGTTTCTCTCTTTCTGGTTGTTTTATAATGGGAAACCAGAAAGCTAGGTTCAAAGATTCAAAATGCCTTTGGAGTTCAATGAAATGGATACTTACAAATGATTTTAATAGTACCTTGATACTGTAAATATTGCCCAATTACTTATCATCAGGGTCTTATTTTGGTTTGATTTCTTGTCAGACACAAAACAGAGCCATTCAGAACAGGTGGAATTCTGTCAGATGCTCAAACACAACTTCAGTCGTGCCAGATTCTGCCCTCAGCACTGTGAGCAAACTTCAAACAGAAATGCACATGAATAGTTAAAGGAAAATGCTGGATCCCACCTGTTGCCTTTTCTGTGAAGCAATATGTCTATAATGTTTATAAATTTTTTTTTAATTTTTTTTCAACGTTTTTATTTATTTTTGGGACAGAGAGAGACAGAGCATGAATGGGGGAGGGGCAGAGAGAGAGGGAAACACAGAATCGGAAACAGGCTCCAGGCTCCGAGCCATCAGCCCAGAGCCTGACGCGGGGCTCGAACTCACGGACCGCGAGATCGTGACCTGGCTGAAGTCGGACGCTTAACCGACTGCGCCACCCAGGCGCCCCTAAATTTTAATAACCCATACAGGGCTTTATCTTTCAACATTAAATTTATATTATCTTAAAGTTTGACTTCTCCAGGCGATGCATTTTATTCTCTAGTATCTTAGAGAATCTATCCATCTACTAATGTGTACTCATTCATAAAGAATTAAAGTTTTCTCTTATCAAGCAATTATCAACATATTTATTAAGTGTATTGAAATCTTCATTTTCAGTGTGATGTTTTCTATATCTGACTTAAGATCATGATCCTTATTGAGGGCTAGAGGCACATAAACACGCTTCATAGAATCAACAAATAAAACGTTGATGTTTACCCTTTGTTCCCCATGATGATAATTGAAGTAAAGGTGCTTTTGGTACCTTAAAATCTCACAGTGGGGGGCGCCTGGGTGGCGCAGTCGGTTAAGTGTCCGACTTCAGCCAGGTCCCGATCTCACGGTCCGTGAGTTCGAGCCCCGCGTCGGGCTCTGGGCTGATGGCTCAGAGCCTGGAGCCTGTTTCCGATTCTGTGTCTCCCTCTGTCTCTGCCCCTCGCCCGTTCATGCTCTGTCTCTCTCTGTCCCCAAAATAAATAAAAATGTGGAAAAAAAAATTAAAAAAAAAAATCTCACAGTGATAACAATTAAATGAACAAAATCATTAGCCTGAGAATAAATATATGAATACTAGCCTCATCTTTTCTGCTGCTTATAGCTGATAACACCAAGTATTACCTGTAAATCTTATGTCTTAGAAACAAAGAATGTATCTCAATGCATGGCCAATTAAAGGGAAAAACCTAACAAGCAAGCTATTGTTATTACTGCCTGTAAGTTTATTTGTTGTTATTACTGCATGTAAGTTTAAATCCAGAGGTAGAATTTTTGGTTTTAGTGAACGTTGTATAGAAATCATTTTATTACGGCCCTTGGATTTGAAAGAAGATTTTCGTAGATTTTTGCTGGGGGGAAGAAGGAAATGAAAAGGAAACAATTTCTACCTGATGTCAGAAGCACACGTTTTAAATGGCACTTTTTCACTCCTTTGATTTCAGTTTACAAGCATTGAGAAAGGAGAAATCCCGAGATGCTGCTCGCTCCCGCCGGGGAAAAGAAAATTTTGAGTTCTATGAATTGGCCAAGTTGTTGCCTCTTCCTGCAGCCATCACTAGCCAGCTTGACAAGGCATCCATCATTCGACTTACAATTAGCTATCTGAAAATGAGGGACTTTGCTAACCAAGGGGACCCTCCGTGGAACTTGCGAATGGAAGGCCCTCCACCTAACACATCAGTAAAAGGTAAGTTTTAAGCCCCTGTTTGTTCTGGAATATGGTGGTCGATAGGTGTCTCTAAGATGAAATGTTTACCATCATCCTTTCTTCTTTTCCTGCATATCAAATCCTTTAAAGGGATACAAATGTGGAAATCTGAACTCTGCATGAGAAAGACACCATGTGAAGGTGAAATAAACCTCTTCTATTTCTTTTTTATTTTCAAAACGTCTGTCAGCCTAAATATTCTATCACTTGAAGCAAGGCTTCAGAGAAAGGAGAATGAAATGACTTACATTAAAATGCTTCTTGGGTTCAATTTGCGTTATGCTAATTCATGCAAATTATTACTGATGGGTGGAGTACAAGAATATTTGTTAAAGGGTGGAACTAATGTCTTCTGTCTTTAGTAACCAAAGAAAGGAAGGAAGCTGAGCCCAACTGTAGTAGGCATTTTGAGTAATGATTTTATTGACTAATAAAACAAATAATTCATATTAATGTTTCAAGTTGCCATACATAATGCCCAAGATTTGTAAATCTAAACCTATGTTTGTCCTCCCGATCCTTGGTGCAGTCACTCTTAAAACTCACTAATGAAAGATGTTAGGCCTTCATTCTGATATGCAAGAGAGGTATTTCTTACGTGTTAGTGAAACTTCTAGTAATTTATAGCATGTTTAGCATGTGAATATGCATACGTATCTTTATTGATGTATATGTGATATTGGCCATTGATTCTCTGTCTTAAACGATGTGTTATTCAAGGCTTAGGACTTAAGGGATCTGCTAGTTTCTTGTGCTCTAACCTTGTCTCTAGACCCTTGGTGGGCATAAGGTGGATAATTGGGAAAATTGTGGGCAACTCTGGGAGAGGAATTAGGTTCTTTTGTTAAGTGATGACACCTTAACAGTGACCTTTGAAGTCCCTGTGCTCATGGCTTTTGTACAAAAGGGTTCTAATAGGGAGCCCTGACCTCTTAGAGGATACAGATTAAAATGAAGGATCCAAAGCAATGACTATTTACAATTGTGTGCTTAGAAGTGCCATCATATGTGTGTCCATGCATGTGTGAATCTGGTTATATCTCTGCCATTGGTACTTGCAATGTTTCTTACGCTTACGAGAGAAGGGAAATCAGAATTTAAATTCTAGGTGCTGTTTTCCTCTAGAGCAGGGCAAATATTTTCTGTAATGACTATATAGGAAATATATAGGCTTAGGCTTTGAGGGGCTCTGAACTGTGCCACAGTAGCACAAACTCAGCCATAGACAATATGTAAACAGCAGGGTGTGGCTGTGCTCTAATAAAACCATGCATAACAAAATAGGCAGCTGCCCCCAGATTTGGCCCACAAGCCATAGTTCACAGATTATCTCTCTAGAGTGTAAGAATGGCATTCAGAAGCTGAGAACATAGAACAGAGTTAGCTGTCAAGGGCTGGATGTCAGTGTAACATAGCACAGTATGGATAAACTAAGGCACATTCATGCTGTCCCTTTTCAGCCCTTCTCACCTTAAAAATGTAGATGTCAACTTGGTAATATATCAATCTGTGTTCCAGATGCTAAAGTTGTGGCAAATTTTCCCAAGCTGAAGATGTGAATATAATCTTAGTAAATATACTGTATCCATAAGAGTTTATTCATTAAACTGCCTTCATGTTTATTCCAAATCATACAAGATGAAAGGGTAGGTGCAACAGGGTAGAAGTCACAGAATGTACAAAATACATCCTTATTCTTCGCTTTGAAATGGACTGATTAAGGGACTGAACTTGTATGAGGTGGTTTAGCACAGTTATCTTTTTATTACCACTTCTTCATTTATTTTGAGAGAGAAATAGAGAGCTACTGAGTGGGAGAAGGGGGGGGAGGGAGGGATGGGGAGGAGAGAGAGAGAGAGAGAGAGAGAGAGAGAGAGAGAGAGAGAGAAATAAAGAGAATCCCAAGCAGGCTTCACACTGCTGGCGCAGAGCCCAATGTCAAGCTCGAACTCAGGAGCTGTGAGATCATAACCTGAGCTGAAATGAAGAGTTGGTTACTTAACCAACTGAGCCATCCAGGCACACCTCCATTTTTCTCTTTTTTAAAGGAGCTGGCAGTTTATAGGCTGCCTTGGTAGTGGTGGTTACCAAAGTAAAAGTGGTTCCATGGTTTGTCCATTATTCTGCAATGTGATAACCTTGTTTACTTTTATTTTATTTTTTTAAATTTTAATGTTTATTTTTGAGACAGAGAGAGAGAGACAAAGCTCAAGTGGGGGAGGGGCAGAGAGAGAGGGAGGCACAGAATCTGAAGCATGCTCCAGGCTCCACGCTATCAGCACAGAACTCCATAAAGGGCACAAACTCATGGACCACGAGATCATGACCTGAGCGGAAGTTGGAGGCTAACTGACTGAGCCACCCTGGCACCCTCCCCTTGCTTACTTTTGGAATCATGACCTTGTAGAGATGCAAAATTACAGCTCATGTAAAACCATGCCCTCACATATAGACCAGGGAAATGATACAGAAACAGTTTACAGTTAAGTATTAGCAGATCTTAAGCTAGATTCCACTGTTTCACCTTTCTGTCTAGTGCTCTATCACATCATATCGTTTCTAGAAATTTTATTTGATTTGCATCCCCTTTATCAAGCATGCCAGGTGAGAATTCTCTCAGCTTCTGACTGTGACTGATCATTCATTTTTACTTTATGGACTTCAGTCAGTTAAACTCTAAACTACTTATGATCAAGATGGATAAAAAACAATAAAATATGGTCTCTGCTCTCGTGGGCATTTCAGTCTATGAAAGGACATACTGATGTCAAGGAGAAAAATGGGGAGGTTAGGGTGGATATTTAAGAGTCTGGAAGGAGATAACAGATTTTATTATTTTGCGAGTTCCATCCAGATAATGGCAGAACATCCAATTCGGTACATGTGTACTCCCACTATCAGTAAACTGATGATAGTGAAGGTGTAAAGCATAGTGACTCTATCCAGTTGACGCTGGCTCTCAAAAGTTGCTAGGAATGCAGTGGACACTTTCTGTGAATTGGTTCTGCTGTACAGTATGTGTATATTTTATTGCTCTACTCTCATTCTTTAATGCAAACCTGTTACTCATTCTGATCAAACATTCATGAAACAACATCAAAAGAAATTCATTTTAATTTATTAAGGTCTTCTGTGTTGTGCCCTTGAAGAAGTTCATGTGGATAAACAAGCTTATATAAATAGCCTGCAGCATCATGTGAAGTGCAGTTCATAATCCAACAATAAAACGATAGACATTAGACTTGGTGCTTCTCCAAGCAGTCTCTTGAATAAACCTAAAGGCGTTTGGAAATTTATATGAAAAGTACTTACACGATGTAGGCAATGTTTTTTTTTTTTTTTAATGTGATGAGTTGTTCCTGTTAATAATTAAATTTCAAAGCTTAAATTTAAATTTGTCCCACACAACTATATAGAAATTTAATCATTTTAATTTACTGCTTCAGAAAGGTCCTTCACTCTGCCCTGTATTCATCACATCTTTTCTTAAATGTCTATAAAGGTTGATGAGTTTGTTTTGTGATGCCCATTCTGTATAGATTATTACAAGTTATGCTTGCAGAAAGAACACTCAGGTGACAGTGTGTAATATGTCCTGAGTCAATTACTTCATGGAAATGATATGTTAAGCAATTGGAAGGTAACAGATAGTTTTTTCCACGATTTTAGAAATATCTGTATTGTTATAATACAGATCAAATCTACAATGAACATTATGCATTATTCAAGAAATGACCAGGCATTCTCAGCAGTGTTTCAGCTAAATAACTGATGATTGTAACCTTTAAAGAAATCTCATTGTGGTGACTGTTGGTAAATCACTTCTCCATTCATAGTAATCTCTATTTAGAGGCTATCTAGAAACCATTACATCTTTTATTAATCTTAAAAGCAATAGCTGCTGATTTGACATTTGCTAAAACTAGATAAATTTTCTGTCTTTTTAATATCACACACTTCAGTCAATTTTCGGTGTGTGTCTGCTACAACTCTATTAATCCAGGAATATTTACCACTGTAAGCATAAGTCTTACTTCAATTTGAACATGGCAGCTTTTAAACAACAATTTGTGTATGTGTGTGACAGGCGACAATGCTCAAATATGTAAAATAGAAGACATTTTTAGCCTTCGGAAGGAAATGGTTGAAAAATACTGCAAGACAACTGGTGATTGAAATTGACTGAACACATTACGGAAGAACTTTACTATTTTCATAGTAAATTTCATATGTACTACAAATTTCATACTACATTTCATATATTACTATTTCATAGTAATTTTCATATTTCATATTTTCTTCACTATTTCGGGCACTTACTGTGAGTTAAGTGGTGGATATTTCTGAGAGGAGAGGCCTGCAGGTCCTTATTTAAGGAATACGTGATCTATCCTTAGCCAAAGACCAGACTGTTACTTTTGCAATCATGTTTAAGGGTTCGGTTTGAAACAGCCATGTGTAGCCGCTGAGTCTGTGACATCCTTCAGAGTAACTCTGAACTACTACAATACTGGTTGTTCCCAAAACTTAGAACTATTTTTCTAAAATGCTATCTGTTTCCATAGAAGGTACAGAATCCAAGACTGAGTGATTGTTCTTCTTGGTCTAAGCAGCTCCGAAAGGTCTTCTAGTTCCTGTTCAGGCATTTTACTGTGTACAGACACGTGTACTTCGACCAACTGACATTCATACTCGGGGGCAAGTGTCCTATTCCTCATTATTGAAAAAAAATGTGAAATGCGATTTCTTAGAATCAGGGTATAGCATGTACATCAGCCTGTGGTGCTCTTTATTATTACACAGGAAAATGGTAGTGCCCAGACTGAACCCTTAGGTTCTGAACAGAAGCTTCCAGTAGGGGTAGGAGAGCAGGAGACAAGATAGAGACTGGCTTCTTGCGTGGTTCCTATTCTCGCCTCCACCACCTTCAGTAGACTGGGGGCCCATCTCCCTGCTTTAGTCTCGAGTTTCAGTCACCTCAGTCCAAAGGGCCAACCAAAAGCTGAGCTGCCAGTGTTCACTCTTGTTTATTTTGGTAGCAAGTGCCAGGTTTTGCTAGTACATGGCAGTATGATGTGATATAATTGCCTTTTCTTAGGTATGCTTCTGGAAACTTTTTCATTACATACTGCTCTCCTTTC